GTGAGTGTGCATTTATTGACAATTCCATAACCAACGCTACTTTTAAAGTTTGAATGTGTAGTAATTTGTTGGACACTTGTAACAAAAACTTGTTCTTTCTTTTAAATTGCTGGTTTTTAAGCAGTTTTGAGAGAGAACTACATTGCGTTGTTAGGACTGTTGGGAAATATTGTGTTAGACCGTGGATGTTAGCTATGTATTTATCTGATCTTGCGATCAGAAAATACAAAAACACCATTATCTGGCCCCACATATTAAGTAGATATTTGTTAAAAATGGCTGAGAGTAAAGATTTTAGTAATAGCAATGAGCTTATTTTGTTACACGAAAAACTCAGAGATTTGCAGCACCAAAATGAAGCTTTGAAATTGCAAAATGAAATATCAATACTTGAAAGACAGATTGACAGTATGCAGTTATCTTTTCAAAATCAATATGATTCAAACTATGAAGACAAACAAACGTCAACACCGAAATTTTTAACAAGACAATATGCAACACCTCTATCAGAAAGAAGGCGACGTTTATTACCACCGACCCCAGATAAAAAGCCCTTTAAAATAGAAAGTGTCTTAACCCCATTAGCTGAAAAACAAAGGTTTACGGAATCTCCTTGTGGCTCTGATTTGAATTATCCGAGAGATCGATTTGTTACTTTTCGAAAGAGAAAATCACAACCAGCAAATAAAACAGAGTCCTTACACAGCAACATACAAATGGATACTTCAAATTCAACAGAAATAAAACGTGATCCTAAAAACTCAAATTCAAAACGAAGTGTTATGATGAAGCCAGCTACGTATGATGGAACTAGCTCATGGATAGATTATAAAGCGCATTTTGAAGCATGTTCAGAAATAAATCAATGGACAATCAAAGAAAAAGGTCTTTATTTATCTGTTTCATTAAGAGGTCAAGCTCAGGGTGTTTTTGGCAATCTGACAAGCAAATCAACAAATTATGATGAACTTGTATTAGCTTTAGAAGAAAGGTTTTCACCACTCAATCAAACTGAATTATATAGAGCTCAACTAAGAGAAAGAAGACAAAAAGCTACAGAATCTTTATCTGAAATGGGGCAGGACATAAGACGTTTGACTAATTTAGCATACCCTTCAGCACCATCAGATGTAAAAGAGACTTTAGCAAAAGAACAATTCATAGATTCTTTGATTAACTCGGATATGAGGCTTAGAATTAAACAAGCTCGTCCTACTAGCTTGAATGAAGCAGTAAGACACGCTGTTGAGCTTGAGGCTTTCAACAGAGCGGAAGCAAAATCCTATGAAACCCGTGGTTATATGAGAAAATTAGGTTCTGACGAATATGATAGTCCGAAAAGTGAAGATGACAAGTTAGATAGCCTGATAAAATTAGTAGAGGAAATGAAGAATATGTTATCAATGTTTCGACGCCAAAATAACTATCAAACTTTTGATAAAAGAAACCAAAACAACCTGCGATATCAAAATAATAGCATGTCTTCAAGAATATTTGCTAATGGGCCAAATACAAATAGTTTGCATTGTAATGAGTGTGGTCAGAAAGGTCATAATGAATACAATTGTCGAAAGTTCAGTGGCAGATCGAAACGAAAAATTAATGTGTTAGAGAAAGATTGTGAAAGTTTGTCTAATTCGTGTGGTTCAGGGTTATTTGTTGAAGCTAGAATAAATGGCATCAAAGCTAATTGTTTAATTGACACTGGTGCAACATTTTCAATTATTTCTTCAAGTTTTATAGATAGATGTCAGTTTCCAGTAAATTTAGAACCGTTTGTTACAAACATTGTAAATGCCTCTGGAAAACCATTGGAAATTAAAGGTAGGGTACATTTAGATATGAAATTGAATGATGAAATTTCAACAAATCCTTTTATAGTTTCTGACATAGATGGAGATGCAATATTAGGTTTAGATTTTATGACAGCAAGAAATATTGTAATAGATGTTCCGAATAATCAGTTGACAGCCAATGGTAAAAAGATACAAATGAAATGTAAAGGTCCGATAGGTTGTGACCGTGTGATTTGTCATTTTTGTGGAATGAAATTTAAAAAGAAATCTTATATAAGACAGCACTGTAGAAGAATACATAAAGTTACGGAATCTCAAGATACAGGGCATTCGGAAAGTGTGCATGCTAAATCTATTTGTTAGAGGCAGTTTAATAAAAACAAATATTTTGTATGTTCATGCGGGGCGCATGTAAAACGGAGGCGTGGGTAGTGTAACGTTTTGGCATTTTTTATAATAAGCTTGTTTTGAATAAATATTATCGTTTGCTGAAATGATTTTAGTTTACTTAACTATTATGTTATTTGTTTATATTGCGACAATGTATTTTAGTTTACGGTACTTTACAATATACGTTTGGTATACGTATTTTCAATGAACGTTTGAAATCATTTAATATAATAATCGTCTAAGTGATAGTGATCATTCTTATCAACCAATGAAAATAAAGTCATGCTTGAGCGATCATCCCAGCAGGTATAAATACGGCGGCAGAGCCAACATTATTCAGTCTGCAGCAGAATTCACCGAGACCAGGTTGTTCTATGTAACTGAAGCCTCGCTTCATAAATAGAGGATAATTTCGTCTACCTAACTGAAGCCTAGCTTCATAGGTAGAAAAGAAGAATTGACGAAAACTAAATACCCTTGTTTATCCAATTGAAGCCTAGCTACATGGATATAGTGTCGTTATAGTTTAGTTGTGAAATTGTATTTGACTCTGGGTACTTATAGACCACCACATTTCCTGAAAGCCTCGCTATCAGAAAATTGGTAACATATAGGTATTAAAAATCCAGATCCAGAGTAAATTTAAAACGAATAAGCTTTGTATAGTTGGAACTTTGTTGTAAATCCCTACCAGCAACTTATCTTTCTATCTAAATAGAAGCCTCGCTTCATAGATAGGGAGGTAGTTGCTGGACTATAGGAAATTATCGGGTTGCAGCGTTATATCTATAGTTTTCAATAATTTTATAGTGTTATATTGTAAACATCATCTATACTATATTGAGCCTTTTTGAGAATTTAATAGTGTATTTCGGAGTGTTAATTCAAGCTGATTGTTAATAATATTTGATCATTTAAGAATCATTTGTATCTAATCAAACGGCAGGTAGCCCAAAGAAAAATTTATTATATATTCGTTGTACATCCGCTCGGTACACGTTACACAGGGTTGACGGGACATTTTCAGCTGCGTCAGACTGAATTTTGGCTGCTAATTAGGTGTCAGTGTTCATTTAACTCCCATAGTCGGCCGATTGAGAAACGATTTTATCCACCGATTTGGCATTCCGCAGATTTCGGCAACCTCATTAATTTAAAAACCTACCTAACATTTTCGCGTGCGCAACACTGAAGATTTTCTGCTGTAAGGGTGTAACTATTCAACTTGTTCATGTATTCAAGTGATGCCGATTGGAACTGTTTAGTTAAGGGGACGTTTTGTCTACTTCTTCGTCAACCCTAAATCCTAAATGAACTTTCTTTTTATTGCGCCAACCTAAACATTTTTGCTGAAAATGTGTAACATATAAACTTCTTGAACCGATACAGGAACGGAAATATGCGTTCCCGTTCCAAAGATTCGAACGTGATAGTTATATATAGTCTCTCAAAATGTGTACATGTAGGTGAACAGTAAAGTCATTAATACTCATTCTCTAAGCACAACTGGGTTAAACATATCTATTTGCGAAACAAGTTCTTGTAACTTATATTAATCACTTTCGAGTCCGCTTCATGGAACCAACAAGTACTGGTGTCACATGAAGAAACATGGTCGTGACCCGGTTAGGGCTCGAAAACATGATCCTTGGGTTGAGAGGCAAACACATTAACCACTAGTTCACCGCTCTCCTTAAGCAACTACAAATATTAAGAAGCTCAAATATCTATGTAAAAAGAACCACTCTTATTAGTAAATTTGAACATTTTTTTCAAAGGACCATACAATTTGAGTTTCGATTTAGCTTCGGCAGAATTCCCAAAGGACTCACCGATACCAGAGGACACAGGGTCCCACTGTATATATCACCATATCCAGTTCTGCGAATTTAGCCCGAGTCAGACGAAAAATCCATAATTTGTCTTCCAATTTTCTTTTATTGCCGAAGTTTTGACCAATCAATGCAGCTGGAGCTTGAGCTGATAACTAATAGCGAGCTCGAAGAGCTGGTCCGAAGGGCCTGCTAGCATGGCGAGGTTTACGGTAACGCGAGTACCTGCTAGATAGTGCTGGTTTTGAAAACTTTCGCAGGAAGTATTCAAAAGTTATGGGTAATAGACCAATCGCAATTTTTCGAGTTACATGATAAGGATAAAAGCCGAGGAATTCTGATTGAAAACGGATGCATAGACTGGTCTCCTGCGCACTTCAATGTGTACCATAATAGGACAGGGAACCAGAAAAAACGCAAGTTGTGTATAATATACCGCATGGCACTTTTTTGGGGTCTAATAGGGTTGTCACGCCGGGGTGGTAATGGGGACAAGCTCCCAGTGCTTAAAAAATGCTCCATGGCATGCGCAATATATAGCCTCTGACAACCAAGTCCAGCTCCTGGCCTGCACGAGTGGCTTGTTATTAGCCCGGCGGACCTGCTACCTAACAAACAGGAGAAGGGACGAAGGCGGTTCTGTGGCGCCATAACCACTGCTTCGGGTAGACAGAGCTCGTTAGCCTAGGAAGGCAGTCAGTCTAGGTGAAGGAAAACACTGATATAAAACCAAAATGGGCGGACTGCGCTCACTATCCAGGGATGGAAGGCAGTCTAGGAAGGAAAGTCCGAAATCAAACCACCTTCCTCAAGGTAATCAGAGGTTTGCGTAGGGCCAACAACCCTGCCTGTAAAAAGAAATCCGTTACAGAAGCATCTACGACAAACCAAAATATTTACCACCTCGTGGACACTGCTGACGCAACTCGATGACCTCGATTTCGCAGACGACCTTGCCCTACTGTCACACAACCGTAGACAAATGCAAGAAAAGACTACTCTCCTGGCTACAACAGCGGCAGACACTGGTCTCAACATCAACCGTAAGAAAACAGAGTTGATGAAAATCAACACCACTGCACAGGCTCCTATCACACTGGACGGTGAGCCGATCAAAGAGGTTGAGTCCTTCACCTACCTGGGGAGTGTGGTAGACCAACAAGGGGGCACTGACGAGGACATCAAGTCAAGAATTGGCAAAGTCAGAACTGCCTTTATCATGCTAAAAACATCTGGGCCTCAAAGGAAATCCGTACCTCCACCAAAATACGGATATTCAACTCCAATGTCAAGTCCGTGTTATTGTATGGCTCAGAGACCTGGAGAATGACCAAAGCTTCCATCCAGAGAGTACAGACATTCCAAAACACATGCCTCAGGCGCATACTCAAGATCAGATGGCCTGAGAAGATATCGAATGAAGATCTGTGGAGAAGAACTTGCCAACAGCCTTTGGATGTCCTGACCAGACAGAGGAAGTGGCGCTGGATTGGGCACACGCTCAGAAAGCCTCCAACCAGCATCACACGCCAGGCCCTTCTTTGGAACCCACAGGGGAAGAGAAAGAGGGGACGTCCAAAGAACTCCTGGAGACGTGACACCGAGTCTGAGCTGAAAGCCAACAACATGTCCTGGCACGATGTCACCAGAGCAGCCCAGAACCGAGTGAGATGGAGGTCCGTCGTGGATGGCCTATGTTCCTTCCGGAACGACAGGCCTAAGTAAGTAAAGTACTTTTAAAACGGAAAATGTATGATAAAAATGTATGATTATATCAACCGACTTCCCGTTCATAGCCTTTGCCTAATTTCATATATCTGGTTCCCTGTCCTATTATGGTTCCCATCTACTTTCTCTGACTGGTGGATTAAATTTAGATATCATAAAAAACACGAAATGGCCGTATAGAGTGTGTAGGTGTGTTGAGTGCGGCCGACAGTGTGCAGTTCTTAGTGTATTGAAAACAGTTTTAAGTGTATTGAAAAAAGTTAAATGTGTTTCTATTCCCTTCGCTGAAAGATGGCGCAGCCCTAGTAGACCTAGAAAAATGGGACTGGCATATACATGTATATTGCCCAAAAGACGATTTCTTGCCATTAACAAAAGAGGACGGTTTATTCCTGGTCTCTACCAATCATTATACATGCACATGTTTTGTAAAGGCGACTTTTATATTTCCCGTTTGATTAATGTATAACCGCCCTAAGGGTATATGTTGCATATACATGTATATTGCCCAAAAGATGATTTCTTGCCATTAACAAAAGAGGACGGTTTATTCCTGGTCTCTACCAATCATTTTACATGCACAGGTTTTGTAAAGGCGACTTTTATAATTCCCGTTTGATTAATGTATAACCGCCCGTAGGATATGTTGCCTGCTTTTATAAGCTTTTTTTTAATGTTTATTTATTTTTTATTTTATTTATTTATTTTGACATCTGGCTTTATGCAGGCCTTATAACCTCTGATCACGCTTCAGAATAGTAGTAAATATACAATGTTTTTTAGAAAATCACCCTCACTGCAAACGCTTCCATGAAAAAGGGGTTAACTAAATGCTGCTTTAGTCGGTAATAGGCGGCGTGGACGGTAGCTTGTATTTTACGCTACCGTCCATGGACAAACACAATCAATTCTTCTGTTTTGGACGTTCTTTAAGTACTCTAGGGTTCTCTTCTCAATTGCACATGTATCACTGAAGTTATAACTTGGTAAAATGGTTTGAATTCAACACCATGGTATTCAACTGTTCTACACGTTGCCTCAATGAATCAAGTTTCATGAAAAATCTTCAAAAAAGTAAAGGAAATATAGGATGGACACCAAAAAGAGAGCTCGAACGTTTGACCCTCGAGTGTGATATTTACTTAGACCTTACTTACTCATAATCTGTGCTTTGAATGATACAATGATGGATTGTTTTATATGATATAAATCTATAAAAATGAAAGTCCAATGTTTGACCTTCACATTAACAGAATTTTATCAGACTATCGCTTTTTTTAAATAAAAGATACGTCAAAGTAACGAAGTTGTACTTATGTTTGTGCGAACCTTTAATAATAGTACAAAATGTATATGTTTATCTGGCTTCCGGACCCATGTACTTTAAAATCAAGTAATGCTGTGTGAGGAATATTCTACACCCATAATTAATTCTCAATAACTCCTTAGGATTGCGATACAATTTTTTACAAAAAAATACGCCTTATCAAACATTTTAATTTCAAAAGACGTCATAAAGGTGCATCGAAATTTGTTGTTTATGACAGAATGTTAGATTTTTATTTATATCCAAATAATCAGAAGCTCGCCATTTTGCTCTAAGCCATTTTAAAATATGCGTTACATATGACAATTGTTTATCAGTGATCAATGCTGATAAATTGAAGTTATAAACAAATATTTCATCTAAAATTACTTTTTTCAGTTGATATTTTCGTTAGACTTTCTTTTTCAAGATTTTTTAAGTAGATAACGCGATACATTTTTTGCCCATTTTTCTCATATTGGAATGCAATTACTTTAAAGGACATCTGCTATTATGTCTATGTGCATGTTTTGATATCAGCAGCTGGTACCTCTCTTTTTAATTAATTTATGTTGAAATCAATTTAATTTCGGAAGGACTGTTCCGAATTCAAAGCTTGGCCATTCCATTACACTAATATGGTATGACCAGGTTTCTCATAAAAGCGTATCATACAATTTTTTTTTGTTTTACTCAAAATATAGTCAAACCTGTGATAAAGACCACCTCGAAATAAAGACCATCCTGTAAATAGAGACCACTCTTTGACAAATCTTCATTTGATGAATTACAACAGAGTACACTCCAAATAAAGACCACATGTCTATAAAGACAATGTGTGGTCTCTCCTTTGGACGGACGGCCTATATTCACAGGTTTGGCTGTAGTGTGATAATACATGTGTTATAAAGATAATGTAGATATACGTAAAATCCAGAGAAACAAATGAGCCGCGTCACGACAAAACCAACAAAGTGCGTTTGCGACCAGCATGGATCCAGACCAGCCTGCGCACCCCTGCAGTCTGATCAGGATCCTTGCTGTTCGCTTACAAACCGGATGCGCAGGCTGGTCTTGATCCATGCTGGTCGCAAACGAATTACGTTGGTTTTGTCATAACGCGGCTCAAATTGTGGTGCTATAAAAATAGCCACTTCGTGAGACATAATAGACGTAATTGTTATATGCATACCAACTTTTTTTATGTCCCTAGGGTAAAACATACGTAAATTAATAATCTACGTAAAGAATACATTCGTACATATCAATAATTAATATATCGCCCTCTGGTCAGAATATACTTACGTTCTAACAAACTGTATGACACAAATTAAAAAACAATATTGAAAACAATCTATGAAAAACGTTTCAGAATAAAACAAATTTAATATATTAAAATATGGACTTTTTCAGTTATAATCTTTAAGTTTTTTTTTAGAAATTTTGTTCTGGTTTAAAAGGTAATGTATACTTTGTTTTATAACAAATCTTTGTATTAAATGAACGTAATTAACTACAAAATCAAATGAACATATGAAAAAGAAAAAAAGAATCAAAAGGACGGCTTTAACGAATCTCGGATATGATAAAACATTGTTTAATATGCACAATTTCTGAACTGAATATTTTTGATGCTGTGAGACATCGACATTACATATATAGAAAAGCTCATTTCAGCGTTGACAAGATCAGAGAGCGTTCATGTATCAATTATGTCTTTTCGGCATATCTTTATGTCAGACCCTGCGAAAGAGAGCGAATACTGCAAAACCCAGCGTATCTTCCAAAGACATACCTTGGTGTGACATTGGTATCAACCAAAAAGACAACGATAATAATTAAAAGGCTTCTGCTTTGGGAGGATTTTTTCATAAACCCTCATTCCATGCGAGCTCCAGCCCGCAGGGTATTGGTATGCGGCATGGAAGAGCACGTGGCCTGTTTTAGATACATATAGGAGCACGTGATCTGTAAATCGTACTTGATAGGTACATCAACGTTGTAAAAAAATTAAAATAAATTAATAAAATTTATACTTCGTGCAATATGGTATTTTCAAATGGGTATATGAAAGAATATTCAAGTGCAGCTAAAAAAAAAGAATTAAATGTAAACATGAAAAAATAGTGTTGTAGTCTGTATCATCAATAAGAGAAATCTCAAACGTCTGGATGGTACAGACGAATGACATACCAAAATGCCCTCTCCCGTCTCCGGTCTTCGACGGTCACCGGTCTCCAAAGACGTTCTTCTATTGATACTATATTCTCGAAACAAACTTTTTTTTAAAACAATTTTGAAAATAGTTAAAAATGAAATATCTTTTAAATTATTGAAACTTATCCCGCTTTATAATTATTAAAAGTTATCCCCACAGGAAACCTTTTTAACTTGTTTCATAGTGCTACGAATCGACAAAGTGCGACAATTAAGACGTTCAATTTGTTCTTGTCATGACTCTCTGCATGGGAGGTTTGTTTATTCGATGTGGTCATGGTTTGTAAAAGTTATACGGAATCTTCAGTCTTCACTTCAGAACAATGCACAAATGTTTGTACTCGGAGTTGAAGACGTTTTTTTCCTGCAATGAGCACTTGCGGAATAACAAAACAATAAATTCTAATACATAAATAAATGAAATAAAATATAAAAAAAGTTAACACGACAATTCAGAAATGTCATTCAATCAAAAACACCAGGCATGTTTAACGTGATTCCAAAAATGCAAAGGACAGAAAGTAAAACAAATAAACATAAAAAACGGAAAACAAATGGAAGGAAAGTACATGGATTTAAGGTGTTTTTCTAGTGGAGATAAACTGGCAGCTTTTCTTAGATGTCATTGCTTCTGATGATGTATGAACTTAAATAATTTTCCGGTCTGTCCTTGATATCTGCTTGCTGCGGTATCTCGTAATTTAAATTATATAGGGCTAAAACTATGGTGGCTGATTTGTGCCATTTCGTCACTTTGTCGTATTTTCGTGTTTTCGTTTGGCGCCCCGCGGAGCGAAAACACGACATGGCATAAATCAGCCACCATACCCTGCACTTTCCTAGAACATTCTGTTTTACTCGGGATTTTTCTATCAGTTCATGAACCTCTTCATATCATGGATGCTTCCGAAATCTTTTCTGGAACCGACAGAAGTTATTGAACAAGGCTGAATGTCCTGAGGATGTGAACATGATAATGTTAATACATTACCGATTGTTTGAAGGAAGGTTATTTAATCGTCTAAATTTTGCTCGTGACCAAACTACGATATGTTGTGACGGTGCAGACACCTAGCAACGGTTACGGAAAGTACGCGCCGTTGCATTGCATCTGAACCGTTATCGAGACGAAACAGAAAGTAGACAAATTTCGACAAAACAAATTGACAGAGCAATTGTTGAACTTGCACAGATAATTTTATACATTTACTGTAATACACAAGAGTATTTACTTCAATATAAGTGTCTCTTGTACGGAGATTGACTCAAAAATTTACCACTTCTCTCGGTTCAAATTTCATGTACATTTATTTACAAAAGTTTTTTGTAAAACAATCATATATATATATATAATATAACTTACATTGTGAACTTATCTTTCTTATAGTGAATTAGTTTTTACGTAACATGCAAA